CTCTCTCTCTCCACTCCCTCCGGGATTCCAATTATTCTGACATTGGAACGCTTCATGGTGTCACTTATTTCTCTGATTCTATTTTCATGGATTCTGAGTTGTTTTTCCCTGGCCTCCTCTTTTCCCTTTTTATTTATTACATTGTCTTCCAGGTCGCTTATTTGCTCTTCTGCCTCAGTTACCCTAGCTGTTAACAGCATCTTTTCTTGATAAAAACCCTCAACAAAGATAGGTGGAACATACCTCAACATCATAAAGACCATATACAAAAGACCCACAACTAATATCCTCCTCAATGTGGAAAAACTGAGAGCTTTTCCTCTGCTGTCAGGAAAAAGATAGGGATGTCCACTCTCACCATTACTATTTAACATAGTACTGGAAATCTTAGCCTCAGCAATCAGACAACAAAAACAAAAGGCATCCAAGGGCACCACCCAGATGTGTCTGTTAAGTGTCTGTCTTCAGTTCAGGTCATGATCCCAGGGTCCTGGGATCAAGGCCCATGTCATGCTCCCTGCTCAGCGGGGAGTCTGTTTCTCCCTCTCCCTCTGCCCCTCCCCTATGCTCATGCTCCCCCTCTTACTCTGCTGTCTGTCTCAAATAAATAAAAATTTATTAAAAAAAGAAAGAAAGAAAAGGCATCCAAATTGGCAAAATAGTCAAACTTTCATAATTTGCAGACGACATGATACTCTATGTAGAAAACCTGACTCTACCAAAAAATTGCTAAAACTAATATATGAATTCAGCAAAGTTGCAGGATATAAAATCAATGTACAGAAATCTGCTGCATTTCCATACACCAATAATGAAGCAGCAAAAAAAGAGATCAAGGAAACGATCCCATTTACAACTGCACCAAAACCCATAAGATACCTAGGAATAAACCTAACCAAAGAAGTAAAAGATCTGTACTTTGAAAACTGTAGAACACTTATGGAAGAAATTTAAGAATGACATAAAGAAATGGAAAAACATTCCATGCTCATGGATTGGAAGAACAACTACTGTTAAAATGTTTATACTACCCAAAGCAATCTACACATTCATTGCAAAATACCACCAGCATTTTTCAGAGCTAGAACAAACAATCCTAAAATTTGTATGGAACCACAAAAGAGCCCGAATAGCCAAAGCAATCTTGAAAAAGAAAAGCAAACCTGGAGGCATCACAATTCTGGACTTCAAGTCATATTACAGAGCTGTAGTAATCAAAACAGGATGGTCCTGGCACAAAAATAGACACATAAATCAATGGAACAGAACATAAAACCCAGAAATGGACCCACAACTGTATGGTCAACTAATCTTTGACAAAGCAGGAAAGAATATCCAATCGAAAGAAGACAGTGTCTTCAACAAATGGTGTTGGGAAAACTGGACAGCCACATGCAGAAGAATGAAACTGGACTACTTTCTTACACCATACACAAGAATAAATTCAAAGGTCTAAATGTGAGACAGGAAGCCATCAAAATCCTAGAGGACTACACAGGCAGCAATCTCTTTGACCCTGACCTAGCAAATTCTTACTAGACACATCTCTCTCTGGTGGCAAGGGAACAAAAGCAAAAATGAACTATTGGGACTTCATCAAGATAAAAAGCTTCTGCACAGTGAAGGAAATGATCAACAAACCTAAAAGGCAGCCTACAGAATGGGAGAAGATATTTGCAAATGACATCTGATAAAGGGTTAGTATCCAAAATCTATAAGGAAATTATCAAACTCAACACCCAAAAAACAAACAATCCAGTTAAGAAATGGGTAGAGACATTAACAGGCATTTTTCCAAAGAAAATACAGATGGCTAACAGGCACATGAAAAGAGGCTCAACATCACTCATCATCAGGAAAATACAAATCAAAACCACAATGAGATATCACCTCACATCAGGCAGAATGGCTAAAACTAACAATGCAGGGAACAACATTTGCTGGCAAGGATGCAGAGAAAGGGGAACCCTCCTACACTGTTGGTGGGAATGCAAGCTGGTGCAGCCACTCTGCAAAACAGTATGGAGGTTCCTCAAAAAGTTAAAAGTAGAGCTACCTTAGGATCCAGCAATTGTACTAGTAAGTATTTACCCGAAGGATACAAAAATATAGATTTGAAGGGGGTACGTGCACTCTGATGTTTATAGCAGCGTTATCAACAACAGCCAAACTGTGGAGAGAGCCCAAATGTCCACTGACTGATGAATGGATAAAGATGTGGTATATATTTACAATAGAATATTACTCAGCCATCAAAAGAATGAAATCTTGCCATTTGCAATGACGTGGATGGAGGTAGAGTTGTATTAATGCTAAGTGAAATAAGTCAGTCAGAGAAAGACAAATGTATGATTTCACTCATATGTGGAATTTAAGAAACCAAACAGATGAGCATAGGGGAAGGGGAAAAATGAGTGAGGGAAGCAAACTTTAAGAGACTCTTAACCATAGAGAACAAACTGATGGTTGGAGAGAGGTGGGCAGGGGATGGGATAAATGGGTGATGGGTATTAAGGAGGGCACTTGTTACGACGAGCACTGGGTGTTATATCTAAGTGATGAATCACTAAATTCTACTCCCAAAACCAATATTACACTATATGTTAACTAATTAGAATTTAAATAAAATTTGAAAAAAAAGGAGGATGGAATCATAAAGAGTCAATCCTAGAGTTTAAGACCAAGATTTCCTGTTATATTTTTAACCAACAACAAATCATTTAGATTACATACTTCATTAGGTGAGACAACGTGCTTAACTTGAACAGCGTAGAGTTCTTCTGGGGGAGGCAGAGATGAAGGCAAATATGGTGGTAAAATAGGAGTCTCTGTTTCAGACAAAAGCAATTCCTAAAGCACCACAAATAAATTCAGATTTCAGAATGACTATTACAGAAATCCAATACATTATTAAAATTCATTACACTGCCGATTTATTTTCAATTAGCAGAAAGCAAGCTCTCTTAGATAACGAATACCACAAAATGATTTTCAGTAGCACCAAAATGGGAGTAAAGATCTTTAACTCCCCCCAATTAAAAAAAATCTGTGTTAAAACACTCATATAAATATTTATTTATTTATTTATTATTTTTAAAGATTTTATTTATTTATTTGAGAGAGAATGAGAGACAGAGAGCAGGAGAGGGAGGAGGGTCAGAGGGAGAAGCAGACTCCCTGCTGAGCAGGGAGCCTGATGCAGGACTCGATCCCGGGACTCCAGGATCATGACCTGAGCCGAAGGCAGTCGCTTAACCAACTGAGCCACCCAGGCGTCCCTAAATATTTATTTATGTATACATATTTACATATACACATAAAACTCTAGAAGAATGGCTAACAGTTAACAGTAATTGCCACTGCTTAGTTGGACTGGGATATCTGAGGTATAGAAAGGGGGACATTTTTCTATTCACATTTCTATAGTATTCCATTTAATTTTAGAATATGTACATATTTTATAGTAAAAAATAATATATGAAATGCTAGAAGAAGATTTAAGCTAAAATTATCAGAAAAAAGTGTGCTCTCTTTAAACTCCAAAAAAACATAACAAATAATAAAAAGTTATGTGATTCCCAAGAGGAACCTGGCAGTCGGCAGTTGTTTAAAGCAAAAATATAAAAATATGGGTGGTGTTTCTTTAAGAAAGTTTTAAGAGTCTTAAATATGATAATTAGCATAAAAAGTTAAATAATCACATTCAAATTAGATTAATTTATTACTATTTACATTTCCAAACTGGTGGCAAAACAGAACAAAACCTATCTGAACCACTTAGTAGAATTCAGCAAAAAGTGACTACCAACTGCTATATGACTAATTTGTTACAAAACACTTTACATTTGTTATTTTTATAACCACAGGAATAAAATTCTACTTATAAATAATTAAAACTTTCATTAAAACTCTTACTTCCTGCACCAAAAAGCACAAGTGGATAAAGAAAAAAGCATATATACTAGATTTCATCAAGATTAAAAACTTTGGTGCTTTAAGGGCACCTGGGTGGCTCAGTTGGTTAAGCATCTGCCTTTGGCTCAGGTCATGATCTCAGGGTCCTGGGATGGGAGCCCCTGCTCAGCAGGGAGTCTGCTTCTCCCTCTCCTTTTGCCCCTCCGTCCCACTCGTGCTCACTCTTTCTCTCTCTCTCTCTCAAATAAATAAATAAAATCTTTAAAAAAACCCCAAAACTTTGGTGCTTTAAAGAATACCATTAACAAAGTGAAAAGACAACTCACAGAATGGGAGGAAATATCTGCAAATCATGTATCTGATAAGGGACTTGTATACAGAATATATAAAGAACTCTTACAATTCAACATAATCAACCCAACTAAAAATGGGCAGAGGATTTTTTTCATTCGTTTCTGTTTTTATTTTCCACTTTTTCTGGTTTTATTGAGATATAATTGACACATAACACTGTATTAGTGCAAGGTATACAACATAATAATTTAGTAGATGTCTATAACTGTGAACTGACCACCACAAGTTTAGTTAACATCAATAACCTCGTAACAGTTCCAAAACTTTTTTTTCTGATGAAAACATTTAAGATCTCTCTTAGCAACTTTCAAATATATAATAAAGTGTTAACTATAGTCATCATGTTGTATCTTACATCCCCAGGACTTATTTATAACTGGAAGTTTTTTATCTTTGGATTGCCTTCACCCACTTCCCCGACCCACCATCCCTGGCAATCATCAAACTGTTCTCTGTATCTGAGTTCAGTTTTTTTAAGATTCCACATATTAGTGAGATCATATAGTATTTGACTTATTTCACTTTGCATAATGCCTTCAACGTCCATCCATGTTGTCACAAATGGCAGGATTTCCTTTTTATGGCTGAATAGAACACTATTTCACTGTGTAAGGATATATATATGTGTGTGTAACATACACACCCCACATCTTTATCTATTCATCCACTGATGGACACTTAGGTTGTTTCCATGTCTTGCTATTGTAAATAATGCTGCAATGGACATAGGGGTGCAGTTATTTCTTCAAGACAGTGATTTGTTTCCTTTGAATATATACCTAGAAGTGAAATTGAGAATGATAATTCTATTTTTAATTTTTTGAAGAACCTCCATACTGTTTTCCGTAATGGTTGTACCAATTTACATTCCCACTACTGGTGCACAAGGGTTCCCTATTCTCCACGTCCTCGCCAGCACTTCTTATCTCTTGTCTTTTCGATGATGGCCACTCTAATATATGTAAGGTGATACCACACTGTGGTTTTAATTTGCATTTCCCTGATGATTAATGATATTGAGCACCTTTTCATGTACCTGTGGGCTATTTGTATGTCTTCTTCGAAAAAATGCCTATTTAGTTCCTCTGCCCACTTTTTAATCAGATTGTTTATTTTTTACTATTGAGTTGCAGAAGTTCTTTATACATTTTGGATATTAATGCTTTATCAGATATATGATTTGCAAGTATTTCCTCCCATCTGTAGGCCACCTTTTTATTTTGTTGATGGCTTCCTTTGTTGTGCAGAAACTTCTTGGTTTGACGTAGTCCCACTTGTTAAATTTTGTTTCTGTTGGCTTTGCTTTCGGTGTCAAATCCTGGGCAAAGTACTTGAACAGAGATATCGTCAAAGAAAATATATAAATGGCCAAAGAGCATATGAAAAGATGCTCACCATCATCATTCATGAGAGAAAAGCAAATCAAAAAACCACAATGAGATACTACTTTATACCTATCCTAGGATGGCTGGGGAAAAAGTCAGGTAACAGGTATTGATAAGGGTATGGGAAAAAAATGGAACCTTGTACATTCCTGGTATAAAAGTAAAATGGTGCATGCCTTTTGGAAAACAGTTTTGTAGTTCCTTAAAATGGTAAACAGAATCACCATATGACTCAGCAATTCCACTAGTAGGAATTAGGTCCATACCAAAAGAGAAGGGAAAACAGATACCTACATAAAAACTTGTATGCAAATGTTCACAACTTTATTCACAATTGCAAAAAGGTAGAAACCCAACTGTCCATAAACAGATGAATGCATAAATGTGGTAAATGGAATATTATTCAGCAATAAGGATACATACTACACTAGAACATGAATGAAACTTGAAAATGTCATTCCAGTGAAAGAAACCAGTTACAAAGGGCTATGTATTATATGATTCTCTTTATATAAAATGTCTAAAATCGGCAAATCCAGAGAGACAGAAGATTAGTGGTTTCCAGGACATTGGGAAAGGGAAAAATGGGAAGTGACTCCTGTTGGTATGGGGCTTCTTTTTGGGATGATGAAATGTGGAATTAAATAGCTGTGATGATTGCACAACTCTGAATATACTAAAAACCACTGTATTGTACACTTTAAAAAGGTAAATTTTATAGTACGTAAATTATATCTCAATAAAGCCATTATAAAAGAAATCGCTTTCTTCCTGATCTTATATTAGATCTTTGTACTGATGAAATGTCCAAAGTTTCCAAAATATTTGGATTGAAACTTACCTCAAATCTTATTTCCCATCTTTCATCCTCGTACTTTTTATTGTAATCTGTTAGTTTCTGAAATAATATAGTATTGTTAATAAATAAACCATCTTCAACTATATAATATTTTTAAGGCACTTTCATATTTCATCCCCACAAAAACTGGGTGCATGTCCTTGTTGGCATTCATTTAGTTATTTTGTGTTAACTATGGGAAAATCTAATGTTCTGAGTGATCATAGTAGTGCAGTAATAAGAATCTTCAAAATTATGTTAAACACACGTTATTAGTAATTACAGTTAACCCTTGAATAGCATGAGGGTTAGGGGTGAAAAGCCACATATAACTTTTGACTTCCTAAAAACTTAATTACTAACAGCCTACTGTTGACTGGAAGGCTTACCAATAACAAATACAGTTGATTAACATATATTTTGTAAGTTATGTGTATCATATATTGTATTCTTAAAATAAAGTAAGCTAGAGAAAAGAAAATGTTATTAAGAAAATGTTATTAAGAAAATCATAAGGAAGAGAAAATACATTTACAGCCCTGTAAAAAATCCACATGTAAGTGGACCCAAGCAGTTTAAACCTGCGTTGTTCAAGGACCAACTGCAGTTTATTATGAGAGAGTAGGAGTTCTTACATATATATTTTTTAAATGTTCACACTAAAGAGTACAACTGGAAGGGAGGGACTTAGTAATCTTTATAAAACCAGTTTAACAGATGGTATACCTTTTATACAAATATATGGGTACATACACACATGCACACCCACACACACATCACATACACCCTTCTGCTCATAAGAAAAAACTGGCAGTGAGAATTACGTGTACAAAGTAATACCACAGTTTCTGTGTGAGAGAAGAAAGTAGTTTTCTATATTGAATGGAACATTCAATGTTTGGCTGTGTACTGTTATGAAAATGAATATTTAAAAATCTAACAAGTGAACTGTAAATCTAGAAATAAAAATATCTTGCTATATAAAATGTTTATGTTATTATTTATGATGAGTTCCCTATTTCCATTAAGAATTTATGGCATCTTGTAATGTGAAAACATATCTATAACAGGCTAATTATGTTTTTTAAAATATTAAAAAACAGAAGCACTGGGAAACTGGAAAGTGCTATTTATTGAAGCTAAGCTTAAAATCCAGCTCTGAGTTTCCTGTATGAGGGCAAAATAGAGGCAATGTTATAATGCCAAATAAAAGGAAAAAAAATTTTATCTGCTGAGAGAATCCTTTTCTGGCAGTGAATTCTATTAGCATTTTAGAATTTACATTTCTATATCCAAACAACACTGGATAACAAATGTTGTGGAATTAAATAGCTGTGATGATTGCACAACTCTGAATATACTAAAAACCACTGTATTGTACCCTTTAAAAAGGTAAATTTTATAATATATAAGTTATATATCAATAAAGCTTAGTTTAAAGATACAGAAACATTAAGTGAATCTTAGTGCAATTTAAGCCTTTTTTAGGACATTTATAAAGCATGATATAGTGTATTGCTTTCTCAATAAATAATTTACAATTCTCTATACTCTAACACATCAGACACAAAGAATTGTACTGAAGACCTGAAGTGTAAGGCAAAATATGACATTTTATCCAGAATTTGTTTTTCTATAGTTTAGATTTTTATAGAAAAATAGCTCACTTACTTCTTTCAATATCTCTTCAGAATGCTCCAAAGTACAATATTTATGGTATGCCATAAAATAAGAAAGTGACATTCCATCAAAATAGAGATGAATAGATAATTTCTCCCATGGGTTTTCAGGTAATTCCTATGTAAGTTCAATAAACAGAATTATTACTATAAAAATAAAGTCTGAAGATTAAAATTTTTGAGTAGGCAAATAAGAAATTAGATTTCTGATGACCACAGTATTACCAGTTTGATCAGTGGCTCATTTCATAAAATTTTCTTCCTGGTATTTTAACGGTAATTCTACTATCATGGTTTCTGTAAAATATACTTACATGTCCATAAGGTAGAGAGTTTTCTAGTTATTTACTAAAAAATTACATCATCTTTAGAGGATACTAATAATTTATACTAAGTAGAAGGAGAAAGAAAAGGTATGTCCAGAGGTAAAGAAATGAAGTCTTGTTAAAAATCCAGAAATGGGGTGCCTGGGTGGCTCAGTTGGTTAAGTGACTGCCTTCGGCTCAGGTCATGATCCTGGAGTCCCAGGATCGAGTCCCACATCGGGCTCCCTGCTCGGCAGG